CCGAACCCCACGTGCCCCTACAAAGGCTGCCGAGCGGCGGAGTTCGCGTCAGGAGAATGGCAGCAAGCACTAAAAGAAGCCATGGTCAAGAACAGGTCAGCTCTTGGGCAATACTTGGTGATGTCACGTGACACCGATCGTGCCCAGTATTTTTCGGACTGGACGAAGGCACGTGCACGCTTGTGGGGAGGCATCCAGGTAAAGCTTGGGTACTGGCAGCAGCTACCGTGGCGGCTGTGCTGCTTGGTGATGTTCTCAGATGTGTTTTCTTATCTATAGTGGGTCGTGTTTTCGTCCGCTGTTCGTGATGTTCTCAGATGTGTTTTCTTATCTATAGTGGGTCGTGTTTTCGTCCGCTGTCCGCTGTTCCGTGGCATTGCAAGCTGACTGTTGACTGCGATTCCGTCCCACCTCGCCTAGGCGCGCTCTCCCACACGGATCCGGTAGCTGTGACTTCGGCAGCTAAAACCTGTTTGCGGATACTTGGCTGTGGCTTCAGCTAGGGTTTAGGGCTTGTGGGATTTGCTCAATCAAGCTATTGACACTCAGCCTCTTTCTAAGGCTGTGGGAGCAGGGTGGCAGAGGGAGGCTTCACGTTCAAAGCCAGAGGTTCTTGAGTGACGAATGGTGTGGCCTGAATGGCAGTGGAGCAACGCCAGACCTTTCCGACCCTCCTTTGCGAGGCTTTGTCCAGCGCTTGGCTTGCGGCCAATCTGTGTTGCAGATCTACGACTCCGCACCGGACTCACCGGCTGTAGCTTCCTTTCTTTCGTGGCTGGCAGCAATGAGACACGTGCCTGGGGAGGTCATGTGGAAGATTCTCTGGGCTTTTCCAAAAAGAGAGTTGATATTTCACTCCCTGCGAGCTACGTGCGAAAGCACCCGAGGTTCGCGTGGTCACCCGCTCTGTGGAAGGACTCCACAGCCAGATCTCCCAAGTTATCCGGAGAAGTCCCGCTTGCAAAGTGCCTTATGTGTCCTTCGAGTTGCGGGTGAAACAGATGACAGATCTTGCCCTCTACCAGCCCGCTGCACCTCGGCTCCTTGTTTTCGCGTTGCCGCATCATCGCGAGCAACCAAGGCACTTCGAGGGTTGGAGACTGACCCGCTTGTCGCCGAGTCGGTCAAAGAACGGGGCTTCAGGACGCTGGTTCTGCCTGAGACTTACAGTAGCTCAAGGGCAATCTGTCAAGTCATATTCAAGCGCAGCATCTGTGCATGTGCCGGGACCAGCATGGTTCTCAAGTTCTCATGATCATGCCTCATGACAAGTTGGAGTAAGGAGGCTCTTGCAACTGCAGATGAGCCCCTATCTGCAGCAGCTCAACGCAAGGGACCTCGCATCGATGCTTTATCGTGACAACCTTCGCCTCAAGCATGCTGCTCGGCAACGGCTGCAAGATGAACTTGACTCCGCCAAGCTGGCGGAGGAAATGCTGCGAGTGCAGGCAGACCGGGAAAGCGGACTACTCGAGGACAAGATAGCGGCCACTGATCCCCTGGCCAAAGCTCTTTTGTCCCACCTGCAAGAGGCCTCTCAGCTATCGCCGGGTGTCGGTTGATGTCGGGCTTAATACCGTGTGACCCATCTTTGTTGTACGTCACATGACTAAGCATCATGGTTAACTCCAAGTGCTGCAAAAATGCCTCCCAATCCTAAACACAAGCGGTCTGGTTTCTTGGCGTCTTTTGCTTGTTGAATTCCCGTTCTTGCTGAGTTCTCGTTCTTGCTCCTGCTTCTAAGCCGATTGCGCACGGTGAATCTTATCAATGCGATGGCACAAACAGGTGTTGCGATTCAATCGTTGTTTTTTTGCGTTCTGAAGCTCTTGTTGCATAGGTCGGGCAGCAGGATCAAGTCGTGTTCTCCATGCCTGCGACTGTCTTTGGTGACAAGTGTGAGCCGGTGCAAAAGCTTGTGAACCCGCACCGGTCACTGGCTGCGCAGAATGTTGGTGACATGGAATTGGAAGATGAGGACAGCGTCCTGTCTACAGCTGCTGCAGGCAGTGGCAGCGACGTGCTCGCACTGCCAGGGCACGACATCGTTCCTGCGGCACATTTGTTTCAGGACGACGCCGCCCGGCACTTTGCCAAATGCTTGGAGCCTGCCCATGCTTTTCGAGATCATTCGTTTTTCAGAATTTCATCAGGAGCCATGGACAGGCATGTGATCACAGGCGCTCCTCTGCAGCAATTTGATTTCATGGTGCAGTGCTACGTACCTGTTGGGATTGAGCAGCACGGCGATGGTGACGGTGGCCTTTGGGCTGTTCACTTGGCTCCCCTGGGAGGGCCAATGGCGTTGACCTTGAGGCAACACACCTTCGATGTTCTTGCCGAAAACGTACATGTGTGGAGCTTGGGCAAAGGCGTGAAGTTTTTGCCTCGGCCCTCGTTGGGTTTGCTTCTCGCGCCGCACTTGTGTGTCGTGTGGTCGTTTGCTTCTTTACTTACTCCGTTGTTAGTTTGTACACAAAACTCAACAGGATACTCTTGAAAGAACAGATTTGCAGTAGATGCTGCGCTCGACATCAGCGCCCAGGACTGCTGAGGCTCGGGAGCTGTTGACTGCGTTGCTACAAGGAGGTGTGGCGCAGGCGCAGCCACACAAGTTTTTTTTCCTGCAAGACGATGAACAGCGAGATGCGTTTCGCCAGCTGGAAATGAAAGGGCTGGCGTGCTTCACGGATGAAGCCTCGGGCAGCATTGCTTGCACAAGCCGTGCAACAGAAGGCCTTTGTGTGGCGCAGCTTTACCGCGGCCCGGCAACCATTTGTGAGTACATGTCGAAAGCCCGCACACGGGGCCAGCTGGACGAAAGTAGTGTTTTTGATCTGCTGCTGATCCTCCTGCAAAGTGGCTGGCGGGAAGTTAGCAGGCCGTCAAAGAAACGCGTGGATCCCTACGTTGTCGACGGGCCCAGGCTTGTGTACTACGACGCAAGCTCTACTACCATCAGCCGGTGGTACCTGCGCTGTTTGATCCAGGCAGATCAGATTATGGCCAAAGGCGTGCGGTCAATCCACCACTTCCAGCCACAGCTGTACTACCGCTGCCTTCTAGAATGCGACGCTTCGCAAGCAGGACGTGTAGCCCCCAACCAGAAGACAGAAGCTTACCGATGCTTATTGGGCTTGCCTACATCAGGGAGAGCAACATCCCGGGAAGAAGATGCAGGAGGACATTCAATCAGCCTGTTTGAGTTCAATTCAATCGGACTTGTCACGGTGTATGTGAGGATGGCGTGTAGTAGCAGCTCAGCTTAACTCTACGTTGTGTGCGGAGGAAACATGAATTTTCTGCTCGAAGATCAACCTCCTCCTCGTACTCGTGGCGGCAAATCTCGTGGCAGAGGTGGCCGCTTTTCCTTGCGAACAATGGCAGTGCGAGCTCGTGGGAAAGGCGGGAGAGGACGGAGAGGCTTCGGCCGCGGTCGTGGGCAGAAGAGAAAGCGGCCTGAGACAGGTCGCGAGGTAGCAGTCTAGCTTGCTACGTTTTCTGGCGGGGGCGGGGGCAGGAGACTTCTTGAGAAGTCTTCGCAGAAATGCATCATGTTAGGCGACAGCCGTGGCGACGACGGCGCCGACGGCATGCCAGAAAATCTTATGGACGAGGGCAACGGGAGTCCCGTGACGGCACTAGCCACCGAAGATTGAATGCGTTTGTTGTGCACTATGAGCCACGTGCAAGCAAAGGTGCGGACAACGCAGATGTACACGAAGCCGCTCCTGTGTCAGGCCTGGGGTCTTGAATAGTAACTTTGCGTGCCTCGTTTCTGGGTCAGGCGCTGCTGTCTCCGCCCCCAACACACCTGCGATAGGCCCGGTGCACCATGTTTCTGTTTCCGGTTTGGTTGCCTGGTCATACCAAAGTGAGCAGTAGGGGTATAGGACTGTCGAGCTTGCTTTCCGAGTTCAGTGCAAGTATAGCCGTGTAGCCGCAATGAAACGCAGGCGACGGTGATGAGTCCGACAGCGTGGGAAGCCCATCCACTCCCGCTTCCGTCCGAGCGGAGGTCGCTAGGAGAATTGCAGCAGGCGATGTGTCTGGCCTTTCGTCAGACCACGACGACACAGACGACGATGCACCTGCACCGTCTGCACGGGCTAAGCATAAGCAGCGACAGCGACAGCGGCAGCCAAGGGAGGTTGCGGCAGGTCCTTCGAGCAGCATTTTCGATCCGAGTACCATACACATTGGCCCGTTCGCAATCGTCAGAAGGCACATCGCTGGGGTCCCGGCAATGTTCGTGAATTGCCCACTCCACACCTACAAAGATTCTGAGGGCACCTTACACCGATGCAGTAAGAGCATGCAGCTCAACCAACCAGATGAAGCCACTGTGATAAAGCGCCTCCACCAGTGGGTGTATGCAGGACCCTTGTGACTAGTTTTGCTTTGCAGCCACCTGGTAGGCCTCAATGGTTACCGCAGTTTTGTGTCATTTGACGTCAGGAACTCAAATGGTCCAGGCACCTGGCGAGACTGAGGAGGAGCTCCGAACACGACATGTGCGACAGGTCACTCGTAGTCAAGCAGCCTAGCCTTTGCTTCAGTTTGTCCTCGTAACCATGTGTTAGGTTCCCTCTCGAGATCCAGCGGATCTTGGTGATCAAGCAGAGCTTGCTGCGCATGTCGTGGAGTACTGTCGGCAGCGCAACATTCACTAGCGCCCGTGCATCAGAAGGCAGGATGCGCAGGGAAGTGCTTGGTGTTGACGGTCTCGTTCGGCTGTCATGAAGTTGATGTGGTTTGAGACGTGAGAAGTCGTGATGTTCAAAGTGCACGCGTGTTACATGTATTGTGTGCGTGTGCCCCGACGCAGGACACACAGCTTGGAGCAGCAGTATCTCGGTCAGTGGATGGATAAGCGCCGGAGCTTTTAGGGGTTGTGAGGTTGGGGGCTTGGGGGTGTTTGATTTGAGGGATGAGTGTTTTAAGTTCGGGCTTAGACATCTTGGAGTTTGACGTTATGAAGGGTCTATCCGAGAATCCACTGAGCTTGGGCTTCTCCTTAATCAGAGAATCCGGAATAATCCGGAAGCAAGAGTGATTGGTCGAGGATCTTGTCTTAGGGTGTTGTGTAAGTCGTGCGCCCACTCCAGTGTACCTTTGTGTTCAGTCAGATCACGAGGGAGCTCAGATCACGTATGAGCAAGGACCAGAGCTCAGATGGCACAGCGGGAAGTATGAGCAAGGACCAGACCAGAGCTCACAGATCACGGAGCAAAGTATGAGCAAGGACCAAAGCTCAGATCACGGAGCGGAGTATGAGCAAGGACCGGAGCTCAGATCACACACACACAGCGGGAAGTATGAGCAAGGACCAGAGCTCACAGATCACGGAGCAAAGTATGAGCAAGGACCAGAGCTCACAGATCACGGAGCAAAGTATGAGCAAGGACCAGATCTCAGATCACGGAGCGGGGTATGAGCAAGGACCGGAGCTCAGATCACACACAGCGGGAAGTATGAGCAAGGACCAGAGCTCAGATCACGGAGGGACGAGAGCTCAGATCACAGAGCGGGAAGTATGAGTAAGGACAAGGGGTTAAGGGTTTGGGTTAAAGTTAAGGTTAAGGGTAGTTGCCTGTTTATAGCCTGTAGCAACGAATCAGAGCCGCACCGCCACACAGCCACCAAACCGCAGGGTAACATTTAGACCAGTGCGACCGCCCTTTCTGTTGTTTTCAATTGGCTGTTGTTTCCAACTGGTTGAGAAAGTTGAGAAAGGGTTTGGGAGCACGTGCTGCTTGGGACGCTACTATAGGGTTTAACGCCTGGCATGCATGAACTTAAGAAGCCCATGACCCTGAATCGCAAGCCCGAAAGCCTTGCCGAAACAAGGATCCCGCGGCTGCTGGCTGCTGGCTGCCCGTCAACAGCATGATTGTCAGGTGCTCCGCCCGGTAGTAAGTACGCATTTGGGTTGGCCGATTGCCTTGTTTCGCGCTGAGACATTGCAAGTTTTAGGCTCGGGAGGGCAGTGCGTTATGTGACAGCTATATGGGTCAGAGTGTACAGTAATTAGCCGGCAGAGACATCGATGGCCGACCCTGGTGGTGATGACACAAGCTCCGAGCGGGAAGGCCTCTTTATTGACTCGCCTGTGGTATATGTTAATACACCGTCCGAGCCCGAGCCGTCCGAGTGTCACTCAGATCCTTTGGAATCACTCTTGGCCCCATCGCCCGAGGCCGAGACAGATGTGAGATTGGCATCCGACTCTGAAGAGGATCCGTTTTATTTAGACAAACTGTTGGCCTCACCTTCGCGTGACTGGATGGCGTCCGATTCCGACAAAAAGTCATTGGATTCAGACGACATATGGGCTTCGCCCGACGGCGAGACAGCTGCCCCTATGGAGTTCGAATTTGAAGAGGATCCGTTCGATTTGGAACAACTCTTGGCTTCGCCGGAGAACAGTCCATCCCAAGAAGCAGCTTCCGACCCGCCAACCTCCGACTTGGACATGACAGGGGCCGAGATGGAGGAGTTCGTGGATCAGAAAAAGCCTCTTCCGTTGACTGAAATTCCAGGCCTTTTTGATGATTTTGACCCCAGGGAATATGAGGATGCCGAGACATGCGACGCTACTGATTCTTCGCAGGGGGCATCACATGTGCAGCCGACGCCGACGTCACTGCCAGCGCAGCCGCTAGTGATCTTTCAGCCGAAGAGACCGCAGCCTTCCAAGGCTCCGTTTCTATCGGATCCTTTGGGCCCAAAGGGCCCAAAGTCAGAAAGAGTTTGGAAACCTTCGAAGGCACCACACTTGCTGTAATTTTCCCATGCTGTGGTTGTCCCTTAAGCGTGCAGTCGCACTTGCTGGCATTGTTTCGTGCTCACAGTCTCGACTGGTACCGAAGAAAAAGAAGAGTGTAAAGTGTAAAGTGCCAGTGCCAGTGCAACAACAGTTCATCGCAGTAGTGGTTCTGATTGTGCGAGGTTCTGTTGATTGATTGTTTGGTTTGGGCCTCTCAGTCTTGCCGTCCGAAGGTGCTACTGCTATCGCTCGGCAACATCGATCTGGCAACACTGCCGGGCTGGCTCGCTTTTGGGACTTGGGGTTTGGTTCAGTCTGTTTTCAGTTCAGCATTGCTGCTCATTGACACGTGAGCTGTGCTGTCATTTCGGTGCAGGTGGGCCAAGTCAGACAGCAAGAGGTTGAAAGAACACGGGCAAAGAGTGAAACGAGAGAGAGAGAGAGAGAGAGAGAGAGAGAGAGAGAGAGAGAGAGAGAGAGAGAGAGAGAGAGAGAGAGAGAGAGAGAGAGCGAGAGAGAACGAGAGAGAGAGACAGAGCCAGAGAGAGAGAGAGAGAGAGAGAGAGAGAGAGAGAGGGAGAGAGCGGGAGGGAGGGAGGGAGGGAGGGAGAGATGCAAGACATAGCAAAGAGAGAGAAATGCAAGGGAAAGGCGTGGGAGAGATAAAAGTGAAAGGCAAAGAAGTAGATGGCATGGGTCATGGGTAGGGAAATGGGGAGGAAGAATGACGA